GCAACTCTTCTTGCACAGTAGTAAGTTCCTGAGTCTGAAATACGCAAATCTTTAATATGAAAGTGATTGTTTCCTGCTTCATTAGTCATTGTGAATCGTGAATTATTCTGAAATTCATCAGTAAAAGTGCCGACAGTGTTAAACATATACACCGTAGAGATGAAACTTGGTTTCTGTCCCAGACTTTGCTTGTACCAGTAAAACCTCGTTGCATCTGTTTGTTCATAGAAACACCGTAAAGTCAAGCTTCCACCAACATCAGCTGATATAAAACGAGTCTCTTGACGATGAGATGAGAGTTTCTGAGTCGCCACTCGAGCTGATAGGAAATGAGACAAAAGAATGCAGCATTCAATTTCCTTGAAAGAACTCAGTAAATCAGTACATTAAAAAATTTGAAACATTTGCATAAAGCAGTGATCATAACTGATACATGTTTGAATTACAAAATCATAACTCACCTATTGTCTCCAGGAGCAGACATGTCAGACACACAACAAACTTGGGAGGTGTCATCGCGCTCAGACTGCTGAGTTGAATGAAGGAGGTTCTTGACTTTCCTGTTCTCTTCAAAGATCAGACTGTCTCTGATTGGCCAATCTGCTGCCAGACTATAGCCCCATATAGGGAAAATGATCACAAGTTCACTCACACCTACACAATGATCTGGTTCTCTGAATAGAATCACAGAGAGGGAGGTGCATAATGGTTGCTCGTGTTGGTATTACGTTTTAAATGACTAAAAAATACATTATCACCATACACATTGTTGGCATTGGCTACTTAGCATTAACAGATTCAATCAATACACTTGAAGCATAGTATGGCAAATATCACTTCCTAGATGTTGAATCAATGTGGCCGTATAACTTATGCTGTCCAGAGAATGAAGGATATCACTGGGGCTGCTGTGAGGAGAGACAAATTTTAGCGTTAAACTGAAGGTAAAGCGGAGAATTTTTTTATGTTTTGAGAAGAAAACAGAAATGTCCATCCTGACACATTCTCATACTGAAACATGTAATGGATAAGGCTAACCACACACTCTGGTTGCGTCCTTGGCTGCTCCGGTGATGAGTCCTGCAAAAAGACGAGTCCCCAAAAAACATCCTTGTTATTTATCTCAAAGAGCATCTGTTGATGATGAAAGTAACATGCTTACATCCCGCCAAAAACCACAACCCCTGCTACACTAAACGAGGCAGAAAGCAGAAAATGTAGGGGTAGAGGTCAGCAGATCTCTGAGTAACAAGCAGAAGGTTGAAAGGTATCATCGTAAACTCTGCAGTATCAACAGAAATAGTAGTACCTTGTGTTTAAAAGTAAGGCAACCATCAGGATTGTTTGGATTTTCTCGTATCTTAGCAATTCAGCGGTTTATAAAAATGCCATTTGCTATAGCCAGTTTTGTTCTTGAACCCATTATCAAAGGAGATACTATATTCACATTGTACTTAAAGGTTACTGTTAGGGATGGACTGATACCTCTTTTTGATTTCCGATACCAATACCGATACTTCAACTTTGAGTATCTGCCGATACCGATACCATCTCTCCTCCTAAACTTCTTTGGAAATACCTTATTTGCATGGATACATTTGATTAAGATGGCTTTATCAAAAGCCTCATACTATTAAAGCAGAGACTTTGTTTTTCTAAGAAAGGAAAAAACAGCCAAAAGCATGTCTCAGAGTGAAACTGTAGCTGCTTTATTTGAGCTGCAATCAGACTACAGTGTGCACTCAGTGCCATTCAGATATTTAGAACAGATCAAAATGACACAGCAACATTAAGCTGCAATTTAAATGTTAAATGACCAAAACTTGG